GCGGCAGGCGCTGCAGCGAGCGGGAGCCCGCAGGTTGCCAAGTTCTCCAGGCAGGGGAGGCCAGCGCGCTCCCGGACGCCGCCCAGGCTCTGCGCCCAAGACGCGGCCCAGGCCGCTGGCGCCAACTGCCGCTGGCTGCGGAGGCCGCGCCCGCCGGCCCGCAGGGGCAGCTGGCACTGCGCCCGCTGCGGCTCCGCGAGCGGGCCCAGCTCCGCGAGTTGCTCGTAAGCCGCCAGCAGGGCCTCGTCGTAGGGCGCGGCCGCGGCTTCCGCAGCCGGCGGGTTCGTCCGCAGAAGGTGCGCGAGCTTGCTGGTGCCGCAGCGGCGCAGCAAAAGCCCCGCTGTTTGTGCCGCTGGCAGGTGCGGCGAGGCCACCGCTGGGCGAGCCGCGAGCTTGGCGGGGAGCTCCGCCGCTCGCCCCGCCGCGCGCCCTCGCGTAAGCCGCCGAGCCCAAGTCAACGCGGCGCCCGTCGCTCTCGTCGGGCAGTCCCCCCGCGGGCAAGGGGGCCCCAAGCGGCACGCCCGCGAGGGTCAAGCCCTCCGCGCGCCATTGCTCCTCCAGGCCGAGGGGGCAGGCTGCGGCCGCTGACCAGGCCTGCGTCTTCCGCGGTTCCAGAGTCAAGCCCAGGTCAGCCAGGGCCGTCTGCGCCGCCGCCTGCACGTCGCCCACGAGTTCCGCCGGCGTCAGCACGACGACGTCGTCCAAGTAGGCAAGCACGCGGGCGGCGCCAGGGCCCAACACCCGCTGCTGCGCGGCCGCTTGCAGAGCAGCTTGCTCCGGGGCGCGCAGGCGGGGCCGCGTCCCGCAAGCAAAAAGCAGCGGCGCCAGTGTGCCTCCCTGGTCCACCCCGCCAATGGCGCGCAAGCGGTGGCAGACGCCCGCTGCGTCCGAGAAGTAGTACTGGGGCTCTCGGCGGCAGAAGAGGTTGGCGTAGGGCAGTAGCTCTGGTGCTGCCCCCTCGTGCTCCCGCAGGCTGTTGGCGGAGCAGTGCGCGTTCTTGGCGTCGAGTGCGATCACCGCCAAGCTAGGGTCTGCCTCCGCCAAAGCCCGCGCCGCGTGCGCCGGGAGCTCTGCGCCTGCAGCCGTGCCCACAGCGAACTGCTGCCTCCCCAGTGCCTCAGCCAGCTCGTGCTTGCGAGGCGTCGCCAATGCCCGGCCCACCAGCCGCCGCAAAATGTCCGGCACGGCGATGGGCCGAACCCCGCCGCCTGGCTTGCGCAGCGGCGTCAGCTTTGCAAGCGCCAGGGCCGCCGCGGTGCTCTCGGGGGCCCGCCCCCCTGCGATCTCGTCGCAGACCCCGCAGAAGGCGCCCAGGGCAGTGGGCTCGGCGAGCACCGCCCGCCAGCGTTCGAAACGCCCGCCAACGGCGGCGGCCCCGCTGCCCTGGGGGCTCCTTTTCAGCGCCCTCTTCAAGGCCCCGTGGGAAAGCGGCGGTTGCCCGGCTGGCGGCGCCGCCGCGGGGGGCAGCGCGGCGGCGGGGCGCGGCTGGAGGGGCGCCTGGAGCTGCCCCGCTGTCTCGGCGGTGAGCGGGGCGAGGCCTGGGCTAGTAGTGAGCAGGGCGGCAGCTCGGGGGCACTCCTCGCCCGCGGCTTTCCGCAGGACCTCGTCTGCGACCCAGAGGGTTGCAGGTTCTAATTCCTAGAACGTGCATGTAAATGTGATTACGTTCTAGGTTCTAGGTTCTAGGTTCTAGGTTATACGTTCTTCTACTATGTAGTTATATGCCTTTTGTATGTCATAGTTTGCGTGATCTCACTATATACCGTTGCCGCGTTAAGTAGTTTGGGAAAACACAGGGGTGCCGCCAATTTGGTTGCGTATCGGGCCTTCTCAAGCGTTTCTTAAGGTCCTCGAACCGTCGGTTTGCGACGAGGTCAGTGAGAGAGGAGAGCGAAGGAGGAGAGAAGAGCAGGAGAGAGAGAGAGAGAGAGAGAGAGAGAGAGAGAGAGAGAGAGAGAGAGAGAATGCGCGCGCGTGAGAGAGAGAGAAAGAGAGAGAGAGAGAGAGAGAGAGAGAGAGAGAGAGAGAGAGAACAAAAAAAAAAAAAGCAAAACAAAAAAAGGGAGAGAGAAACAAAACAAAAAAGGAGAGAGAAAAAAAGGAGAAAACAAATGATCGAGAGGAGGCATTTGTTGCTCACCGCCGCTCGATCGATCGAGCGCGCCACGCGTGGCACGCGCGAGGTCTACGCCTGGCCTCTTTTGGCCTATCCTGGCCTCCTCGCTCTGCTGGCCTCTCCTGGCCGCATCGCCTGCGGCCTCCTCGGCCCACTGCCTCCTAGCCTCTTCTGGCCTCTCCTGGCCTCTCCTGGCCTCTCTCCTGGCCTCTTCCTGGCCACTCCTGGCCTCTCTCCTGGCTTGTCGTTCTGGCCTCTCCTGGCGTCTCCTCTGGCCTCTCCTGGCCTGGCCTCTCCTGGCCTGGCCTCTCCTGGCCTGGCCTCTCGTGGCGTCGCGGCCTGTTCGGGCTTGGCCTGTCCTCGAAGCCCTCGAATGCAGCCCTG